AGAGGCGAAGGAGGCGGGAGACACTTGCACGCAGGGAGCTGGGCTGAGAAACCCGGGGTTCGGCGTTGGTGAGCTCTCCGCTGGTGTGTTTCTAGAGGCAATGGTTAGGAAATGACACAAATGGGCGTTGGGACGGGGTAGGTTTGCGCTCTCGCAGGTCCCGAGAGGCAAGAGGAAGCTCAGACAGTGGGCTGGGGTTGGTCCACCCTGACCTCCCCATCCACCTTCCCAGGGGCTCGGCGTAAGCAGAGCTGATTACAGCAGCTGACCTTCCCCTTGACAGGCTGGTGCCCCGAGCTCTCCGTGCAAAACTTTTCCCCAGGAGCAGCCTCCAGGCACTGAGGCCAGCTTTCCCCACACTGTGAAATCAGTCTGTCTAACAAAGTTGTCAGAGGACTCTTCACAGTCGCCGTTTCAGACTCTCGGTGCCTGGCTTTAGGAGCCCAAGGATCAGAAAAGACTTTGGAGTTGACCTTAGGGGAAACTCATTGAACTCCAACAAAATCCATGCATAAACTGAAGATCAGATACAGTCAGCCTTGCAGATTAGAGTTTAAGATAGCTTTACCTAATTTTAAATTGACTGGTGTTGAGCATGGGTATTCTGCAGACCTAGAGGTCGGTCTTGCCAGAGGTCGTATTGCATGGAGCATCACTAATGCAGGATAAGCTGCAGTAAGTGCACGAATAACAAGCTAAGAGCAGACCTGGTATAATCAGAGATTGTAGCGGATGTTCCTCAAGTTTGTGAATTAGACTTAGGAGCTGAATGGTTACAGCAGATCCGTCAAGTTCAGCTAAGGAAAGAGATGGCACTAAGACATGTGACAAGGAGATGCAGCAGCCTTTTGGCAAGTTTACCCTGTTTCTCACTATTTTAGTATGCCAATCCCTGTAGTTATCCTACCTGAAAGCTGTTGCTGTATGTGGTTTTGGTTTGTGCATGCCCTGGGATAAGCAGCATTGTTCTTGCAGGGACACCAAGAAGTTCTCTTCCAATGACCCAGATCATTGATCAAGCTTGTCAAGAGGCAGCAGCTTACAAGGATGCTGGAGTTGTAAGTTTTGGGTTCCTTCTTCCTCTGGCAGCATTTACACACAGCTGCTTCTGCATAGCCAATATTTTAAATTGTCTATAATTCATCAAAAGCATCTTAAACCACACAGTCTAAGAAGCTGTTTAAATCGACATCTTTTATTTCAACATACTAAGTAGACCTTCTAGATTACAAATCCTGAAAGAAGTATCACATGCACCCGAAACAATTGAAAAAGCTTAGATTCAAATTGTGGAATTCAAGTTGTTCAAGTTGAATTGCCATCAATTTCTAAGAATCAAGTTGATTTAAGGTGGAAAAGAAAAAGGAAAGTTGACTGCAACACGGGTGGTCGCTGGCATTCGAGGTATCCGGCTGTAGAATGCTTTGCCATCCAACCTGACAAGCCACTGTATTTTTAGCTCTGGGTTCATGAAGTTGTGGAGGAATGCCATGTGCACAGCTGAGGCACTTGCATGCATACCTCAGTCGCTTGTGGGGTGCAGGATTGCCCCGTCTTTATGTTTGTACCAAACCAGCACAGATTCATGGACTAAAAACAAAAAAAGCTTATGCCTTTTTCTGCCCTCTTTAACCCTTCTGTCCTACCCCCCCCCAGCAGCAAGCATGCCTGCTTTGCGTATCTAGAAGAGAAGGCCCAAAAGGCCAGTCTCAGCCAGAGGCAGGAAGAGGCAGGTACTACTGACCGAATTGCCTTTGGACCTGAAGTGGTGTAGTAATCTTCATAGGTCAGTAGATTTTAACAGGGTGTATGTCCTTTTGAAAGGTCAGATATGTTTTAAACATTTCGTTGCACCTTGTCTTTGGGTGTTGATGTGCTTTTTCTTTGACCTGCCTACAGTATTATGTACATTTTCTGGCATGGTAAGGAGGTGTCCTAATGTCCAAGGTTTGAATATGTCTTAAATGAACAAGTAGTCACTGCTCAGAGCAGCTGTTTTCTGCAAAACTTGTATAACAAGCCAGTTGAAACCTTTTTAATGCCATAAATGAGGATGGTACTTTACAGACTGAACAAAATGGAATATAAGAGCTTAGTCTAAATTATAGAAGACCAAGGTCACAATGCAAGACAAGTCACATGAAGTAAGTTAAGGGCAGAGCACTATTAAGGCTAAATTAGGAAAGAAACCTGAGAACAAAGTTGTTGAAAGGATAAACAGCAGTGCAGAAGAATGAAGCCCATAGGTGGGCTTCAGTGCCTACGAACCAGACGAGCATGTGCAAGATGTCCACCCAGTTAGAGTAATCTCTAACTGCAGGTTGTACAGAATGAGTAAGTTATTTTCCTTGTCATGGCTTTTGAAAGACCAGGTGTGCAATAGCTCTGTATTCTGTACTGTACCTTTATATTTTGTCTTTATAGTTATAGTATCAACGTGAGGTATAATGGGATTTGATCTACATCAGAAGAGTGGCAAATACTAGTCTCCATCTTCCTGTGTTAGAGGAAGTGGTTACAAAAGTGATCTGTAACTCCTAAAGCCATTGCCCCACATTCCAGTGCTTGTTTACTTGTTTCCCTTACTTAGTAATTACACACTGAAACCTTTAACAGCAGGGAGAAAAAACCACCAAGTATACCTAAAGGTGAGGGAGGGTACAGAGGCCATTACTTTCACTGCTGACATGCACAAAGCTGGACCAGTTTTAAGACAAGCTTTAAAATCAGTAGTAACACAAAATTTTAATTTGGGTTTTATACCTTATTGTCTTTTCAAAAGTTGTAATAAATTCTGCTGTTCAAGGTCTAACTGGTTTACCTTTTCTCCTACTGCACTGCTGTCTCTGAACTTGAATGTATTTTTAAACCTACCTCTCAGGTAGGCAGATGAGGTGAATGCAGTCATTCCTCTACACATTTGGACAAATTCAGGGCTTAAAGTTATGCTTAGTCTATTTCCTATAGAAGTCACAGGAACATCAGTATACATTGCACACCAATCTTTATTCTAAAGGTCTGTACACAATAGCATTACGGCAATACGACAAACAAATCCTTCATTGATGCCATAAAGGTCAGAGATAATCAGGAGAGCTTCCATAAATATCAGTATGGTCGCTTAACACTTTCTGCAATTCACTTGTTTGATTTTTACTGGTACTTACTGTGAAATGCAAGTTTTCATGATAGATACTTCAGGAGCTTCCTGGCTTTTGCACAGAGATCATCACTCTTCCAAACTAACTATCTTGCCTCTGTAATGGGAATATATTTGGGTTTACCCTTTAGTGCTCCAAGTGAACTGTTAAGCTGTGTGTTTTTCTGGAAAAGAAGAGCTAGAAAGGTGTTTGTTTTCCAGAGATTTTTATACTGACAGTATTTCCAAATGCTGCCTACAATAGCTTTTAAGATACGTAACCATCTTGCTGCTACTAGATGTTTACATGTTGTCTCAAGTTGCTTGAATTGGTGTTAACATTTAAAAATAAAGTATATGGTCTTGCTCACTCCATATGCATTGCACTTGGAAGTAAATTTTAGTATATTCAGAAAAAGGTGACTTGCCTGGCACGTTAGCAGCCTAAAATAATAAATATGAAAGATTTGTGATATTAGAGCACAGTAATGAAAACAAGTGAGTGCTCATTTAGGAAGCCATCTGTGCTCAAAATGTATATGCTTTGTACTTGTGTGTTTCTAAACAATGAAATTCCCTAGAAAAGATTTTAGAAGCAGCAAGCTATGAGGCATTATGATCCCTCCGATTTGTATCCGCTTTAGCTGAAGAAAAAATGCAAAATAAATATTCAAGTTAACTTTTATTCATTCTGTTCAGCCTGGGTGACGCTTACTTGGTAGCCAGAAAATAGAGCACAATTTGCTTCTAATTTTATTAGTATAGATCACTTTACTACGAGTTACTGTTATTTAGCTGTAGCTACTTGAGTAGCTGACATTAAAGACAGTTAGATATACATAAGTAAAATTCTTAAAAAAAAATTTCCCCAAATTATAAAGCTATATTAAGTTGCAAATATCATGGTGCTTCTTACCACACAAAGTTTTAGATTTGCTTCTTTTACCATTGCTGCCTCTGGAGATGGGTTCATTGCTATTCTGATTCTCCTGACCCTTCTTTTGGCTCTGTACCTGGAAGGGAAGTTGCTAGCACATGTTTTGCATTAATGTTTTTAAAAACCAGGAAGTTTCAAGCCTATTGCTCTTATAACTACAACGATAGCTGGAGTTCAAATTACTTAGAGTTTAATAACAGTCAAGACAGAATAAGCTAGTATTTCTGCATAGAAACACGTAGGTAGTTATCACTTGGATTACTGAAGTTAACATTCCAAATTTTAGCTATATTACAGTAGAATAAAATAGCACATAAACCTCCCCACAGCGACCACCTATGGTACATGCAGGAGAACACAAGGTGTCTACTGATCTATATTAAGGCCCTAATCTCTTGCTCCGGAGGTAGAGTTCTTAAAGCAATTGCTAGGAAGCTGTGCCCAGGCACAGCAAATCAATGCTTTACAAAGGCACCTGATTTCCTTTATAAGGGGCACATGACTGTGGTGGTGGGAAAGGCTGTAATTGTCCTGGTGCATACCTGAGCCTGTATAATAATGGGTATGGTACAAAAAAACCCTTTCTTCCTGTAGGAAAGAGTAGTTGTTTTAAGCTTGCAAAGCTTTGTGTTAGCGTGTTCGTGTTTGTAGGTAAGGCTGTTCTGTTAGGGGAAACACTGGTGTTAAAGTTGCCCGAGGTAAAAGTTACATTAGGTAGATGCTGAGTTAAAGCTTGTGTGATTGTTATACCTGTTGTGGTTTATAGTGTTTTGACTGTTTTTGACACTTTTCCACTGCGATATGCGTGTGTGTGGCTGAAGTGTTTTAAGAGGTCATTTCTATAAGTGGAATAAAGCGAAGGAAATTATTTTTCTATATAATCAGAGAGCTATTTAAATGACCTATTTTCCAGTAGCTAACTGTGATACAAGAGGCACTTTGCACATATGTAGCACTTCAGAAGTCATTCAAAGTAAAAAGGAAATGTATTGTTTGAGAATTACTTATAATAAGGCTATTATATAGAAGCAACACTTAAATCATCTTAACGTTCAATGGAAAAGGAACACAAAAGGTATTTGCTAGAGTTTTATCTCATACTAGCCAAATAAATTCTGGTTTGGAGGGTGTAATACAGTAGCTGTTCCCATAGACTTCTGAACTATAAGCTTAAGTTCCAAGAAGTTTAATTTAGTATAACTGTTTTCTTTCCACCATTTTAATTAGATGTCTGATAGTACTGAAGTCTGTTTTACATACATATCAATTCAGTAAACACAGAAATCTGTGGTGTTATATTTTTATATAAAATATGAAAGAAAGCTTTGAGTTAATGCATCTGTAATTCAGCTCTC